CTGGAACAGAGGCTCATCTAGAACATGCAGAGCAGGGGGGGGGACCAGGGTGGAGAAACACTGACATAGTTGCTGCTGTTTCAGAGTTGCTGGTGTTTCAGAGTTGCTGCTGTTTCAGAGTTGCTGGTGTACGTTGCCTCTTGTCCAGTGAGCGCTAGAGAAAGGCAGCAGAGCGCCAGATGAAGCCTCAGGCTTTCAGGCCCTTAAAAGGACTTCAGTGTTGGATCTGGTTTTGGGATGTAATACTCATTAGAGCCTATAGGGGGAGTAAACAGAGCACAGCGGCTCAAACACACATGAACTATATATTCTCAAAAAGCCAATTATTCCTCTTTTCTTGTAGGTCTTCACCATGCTTCCTCGATTGTTCGGATAAATGTCTCTTCTTGGCTTGTTCAGCCACTGTGATCTGAAGGAGTCTGCAGCATTTTGTTGATTTACATTTCACTGACACATTGGTCAAGAGTGTGAATTTACTTTCTTTTTGTTGGTCTGGAAGCCAACAAAAAGATCATCTAGTTCATGGTTTGGTAGGCAAGAGCTGTGTGCTGCTCTTGCCTACCAAAATGGCGCGGCCACAATGCGAGATAATACAACACCTGGAAGTCCAGGGTCTCCGGGATCCCCCGTTGTGCTAATGACTGTTGGGAACCCTTTTGGTCCAGTTTCCCCTTTGTCCCCTGGCTCTCCTGGAGGTCCCTCAGAACCTCTTGAACCATCTTGACCCTTCTGACCTAAGAGACAAATGATGAGGGTTCAGAGAGAAACAGTTACAAGATGAAACCTGATCCAGCCACTCTCTAATAAAACCTTTTGGTCCCGGATCCCCGCAGGTCCCAGGCGGTCCGTCATTTCCGGGACGCCCCATCGGCCCTGGGACACCCATGTCTCCTCTTAGCCCTAAAACACAAACATACAGACAAGGATCCTTTCCTTCATCTTTCAATAGAAACTATTGACACCAAAAACCCAGAGAACACAAGAAATCCTCAACAAAAGTCCAAATGTCGGTGCTACAGCCAACCATGTGACTGGTGTCTCACCTGGGCCCCCAGGGTCTCCCGGATTCCCTCTCCAGCCTTTGGGTCCCACCTCCCCAGCCGGCCCTGGGCCTCCATCAGGTCCCGGTGGCCCTGGGGGCCCTCTGGGCCCGGGGACTCTGGCGCAGTGGGTCCCAGGATCTCCCTTCAGACCCGGCGGCCCCTTCGCTCCTGCAGACGGTGCGGTGTGAACACGTTGTGATCTCAAAGAGACAGAATCCAGCTAACAGCTCCACTTTCGTCTGATTTTATTTACCTGTGGGTCCAATTGGACCCGCCAGACCTCGCGGTCCTGGAGGTCCTGGAGGTCCGGGGACACAGGGCCCAGGCGGACCCGTGGAGCCGGCTTCCCCATCAACGCCACGGTGACCTGAAGGAGATTTCAGACCAGTTCAGTTTTCCTTCAGCCGGCAGCAGAACGGCTGGTTCTGGTTCTAGAACCAGAACCAGCTGGTTCAGAATTCAAAAAGGTGAAAGTATTGTGATTATGTTTACAGCAGGTGGGAAACAAATACTGGACAGAAGAAACCAAATAATGATTCAGTTATTGTTGAGCAACCAGCTGGGGAACGCAGCGCCGTAAACCGTTGACTTCTGACGTAAACTGTCTGCGGAGGGAAACGGTCACTGCCACAGTTTGATAATAAATAGATTATTGAACATGAAAACAAAGGATGTTATGTCTGTTACTTCAGGATATAGTTCCAGTTAGCTGCTGTTTTTCCCCAGTAATCAGTTTTTATTTAGTTCAGTAAAAACGTTCTCTGAATTTCACTGTTGGTTATTTAGTAAGTTTTAGTTAATTATGATAACGTTGGTTTGTTCTGACTGTGTACATAGAAGCTGACCTGCCAAACTATCCAGTTCGTTTCTGCTTTTCTTTAAAGCAGAAATAAATTAATCAGCTGCTTGCTATTGATTAATTTCTAAAATAACATAAAGCTGATAAATATACTACAGTATGCAACTATATATATTATCTTTTCAGGCTAATTTAAACATTTATTTAGAAAATTATGAGGTAGAGTTCCTAGTGGGACCTGAATAAAAGCTGAACTTTGGTCATTTCTGCTGATGATGGACAGTTTGATGGCTGAGCGTCCTGCTACCTTTGGGCCCCGGGCGGCCATCTTGTCCTGCAGGTCCCTGAACTCCCGGCCGTCCCGGCGGTCCTGGATCGCCTGGAGGTCCGTCACAGGCATCCTGCCCCGGAGGGCCTAGTTTACCCGCCTCACCTGGCCGCCCAAAGCCTCTGTTCCCCTTTCACCACACAGAGCAGGGAAACGAGTCAAAATCACTTCAAAATGTTCACATTTAAAAGGCAGAATTACTTCAGGCAGCTCACATTAGTTCAGTAAGTCGCTAATTAGAGGAAGATGTTCAGTCAGTAGTGAACAGTTCAGTCAGTCAGTGAACAGTTCAGTCAGTAGTGAACAGGTCAGTCAGTATTGTACAGTACAGTCAGTAGTGAACAGTTCAGTCAGTCAGTGAACAGTTCAGTCAGTCAGTGAACAGTTCAGTCAGTAGGTAACAGTTCAGTCAGTCAGTGAACAGTTCAGTCAGTAGTTAACAGTTCAGTCAGTCAGTGAACAGTTCAGTCAGTCAGTGAACAGTTCAGTCAGTGAACAGTTCAGTCAGTAGTGAACAGTTCAGTCAGTAGTGAACAGTTCAGTCAGTCAGTGAACAGTTCAGTCAGTAGTGAACAGTTCAGTCTAACTTGTCTCTGTTAAAATGGTATTTCTCTGGAATACCATTTTGTCTGATATTCCAGAGAAAATGGAAACGGACTCAAACTGTTGGTTCTGGGCGTTTGGATCTTCCTCTACCTTTGGGCCAATGGGCCCCGGGGGTCCGGGCGGCCCCGCTCGCCCCTTCATGCCATAACAGGGGAACCCTGGCTCTCCTCTGGACCCCTTGTCTCCTGATGGCAGAAGGACGTTTATTGAAGGCTCTGTTTTGGTTCTGAATAAACGCTGAGAAGCTAACGAGCGGTGTTCTGGATCTGACCTTTTGACCCCATGTTGCCCCGGTTACCCTTTTGAGAGGAACCGTCACAGCCCTTTTGACCTTTTGGACCAGGCCGTCCTGGAAAACCCCGAAGTCCGGTCTCACCTGGGATCGAAGGAGAACAGAGACAACATGGAAGAACAGAACCGGAACAGAACCGGACCACAACAGAAGCAGATCAGAACTGAATTATACCATTGTCTATGAAAACGGTTGAAGTATTTTAATCTCATAAATAAATGCTTGTGGACGTTCGTTTTAAGAATCTGTTTGTGTTTCTTCTCATAAATGAGTCGGAGGTAAGATGGCTGCCTGAGTGAAGCAGGAAATAAAACCAGAACCAGAACCAAAGAGTGGATCCGTCTCTTACCTTCACGTCCGGGTTCCCCCGGCCGTCCTCTGCAGCCTTTCGGTCCCGGATCTCCTGGAATGTTCTGGATGTTCCCCTTAGAGCCTTTCTCTCCTGAAACAAGCAGAGCAGTCAGCCTTCGCTCTCGGCCCGGTTCCGGTCCAGGCCCCTCCTGACGGACTGACCTCTAGGCCCCGGTGCTCCACGATCTCCCATGTAGCCATTGGCTCCTTTGGGCCCCGTCGGTCCCGGACGACCCACATGGTTGCGACCCGGTGGGCCCGGTGGCCCCGTCGCTCCTCTGGCACCAGGGGGGCCAAGCGGGCCCCGGTCACCTTTTGACCCTTGACGCCCCTGGACGAAGGAATCACAACTGTTACCATGACAACAGAGTAGATGGTTTCTTACAACCATCAGTTTTAGTGATGAACACAAAACAAATCAAACACTAAAAATATTGTAGGTTCAATATCAGCGATCTATTGATCTGATATTAATGTCTATAATCGGTCCCAATACTGAAAACTAGATCTACTCAGTCTAGTTCTATGCTTTGTGCTCTGAGCCATTTTACATCATGGTTAGAATAACTAACGGCTCTGAGTCGTCTAAAGGTTGCTACAGTTTATCCTTTATGGTCATGTTTTACTCCAAACTGCTGTGACTGAACAGATTTACGGTTTTATAGACCAAACTTATGAAGCTGTTTGTGTTTTTAAGTGATAAAATAAATTTGTCTTAATCAAGAAGATTGGAGCAGGGCTGTGGAGGAAACCTCAGATTTAAAGGAGTTGAAACCATAAATACGTCTGGATGATTGATGAATGTTAAAATGTTGTCAGATGAAATATCCACTTTGTTTGCCGTTGCAAAAATTAATAAAAATCCACGTCTCTTTAAAAAAGTATTAAATAATTCAATATATTTGTGTTTTAGAAAAGAAACATTTATTTTTCTCTGTCTTCTGGTCTCGGTAGTGAAAACATGGCTCGGTCCGGTTCCGGTTCCGGTACTCACCGGGTTTCCTTTCTCTCCCGTTTCGCCTTTGGGACCCGGCGGTCCTGGGAACCCGTCCTGCCCCGCCTCTCCCTGGGGCCCCGCACCGCCCCGGTCCCCGGCCTCCCCCTTCTGCCCCGGCGTGGGGTTTAAGCCCGGCTCGCCGGGAGGCCCTGGGGAACCCGGGGGCCCCGGGAACCCCTGGGGCCCCTGACAGGAAACAGGCAAACAGGCTGGAGATTCATTCATCCCACGGTAAAATACGACAGGATCAAAGCCAAACTGAGGAATGTTTTACTATCCACAAGAATAACGTCAAAATAATCCACAAATAAAGTAAAAATCTAAAAGTAAAGTCATAACATCACCTGAATAACAATAAGAGAATAAAGTTGCCAAAATCGTGACAATATGAAAATAGTCAACATAATAGAATAAACTGGTAATAATATCAGAAAAAAGTCTCAATAAAATGGGAATAAAGTGATAATAGGAGAATAAAATCATAAGACATGTCATAAAATCACCTGAATAAAGTTGTAATACAAGAAAAACGTACGATAATAAAGTCATAATATTCTAAACATTCTAAAACTAAAGTTGTAATATTAAAGTCATAAGATCAAAATACACAAAAACAGATAAAAATATGAGAATAATGCTGCAGTAACACCTGAATAAACTCATATTTACTCATATTTATTACCAAATAACTTGGTCCCTGAGAATCAAGTTATTTTACGAGAATAAAGTCATAATGAGAACAAAATCTCTTGTCAAATTATCTGAATAAAATTGTAATATTACAAACAACTCTAATATTACGAGAATAAAATCAAAATAATATAAGAAAAAGGTCGAAATATCACATTAACAATGTCACAGTAATAAACTCAAATAAAAAAATTGTGATAATATGAATAAAGTTATAATATTCCCAGATTAAAGTTACAATTTTATAAGAATATAATCCTAATGTTAGTAGAATGAAGTAATTTTATGCAAAATTCAACACAAAAAATAATTAAAAATAAAAGTGAGCATGTTGTGAAGTTCTGCTTTGATGTCAGTTTTACAAATAAAGAAACATTTCATATTTTAACACCTGAAGTCATTTTCAGCAGCGGGACTTTGAGTTTATTCAGTAGAAAAACCACATGAACGTCCTGAGTGGCTTTAATAACTGTCAACGCTTTTACATTAAAACTCATTTACAACTTTATTATCAAAACTTCATTCTTACAAAAAGAAATCCCAGTGTGGCTGTAAAACTCTGTTGTATTAAATGTTATGAGTCTGAACGCCAAGCGTCAGATCAGAACTCACCTGTGCTCCAGGTGGGCCTGCGGCTCCTTTGAAGCCTTTATTACCTGCTGGTCCTGGAGACCCAGCTGCACCTGGAGCCAGGTGACAGAGGGGTGCGTTTGATTTCTACACTCTGGAGCTTCTCCAGGCGGATAAAAACAAAAAAGCTGCTGCCTGAATACCCAGGTGGAAAGACTGGAATCCTTCTTACCTGGCAACCCGTTCTGACCTGGCACCCCTGGTGGTCCCTGAGGTCCAGGACGGCAAGGCTGAAAACAGCGGTCTGTACAAACCTCCCCTTTCTGACCTGAGGAAACACAGGTTACATTCTGCAGCTGAAACATCAACGGCCCATCTGGACTAATAAATCTGAAATCTGCTCACCCTTTTCCCCAACCATCCCTGTGTCCCCCGGAGGGCCTTGAGAGCCTTTTGAACCTTTCATACCGGGAAGACCCCGTCCTACGATGTCCACGTCTGAGGACAAAATGACAAAGTTTAAACTGTTGGGAGGCAGATTTATGTTTCATAAAACAATTACCAATTTTCTTTCAATGGCTTGAAAGCAAAATCAGCCTAAAAACCAAAAATAAAGAAGAACGTCGGTGTACTTGGTATTCCAGGCTCTCCTGGCTCTCCCTGAAGTCCAAGAGGTCCTGGGGGTCCGGTCAATCCTGGCGGTCCGGTAACTACCAGGCCTGGCGGTCCTGGTTCCCCTTTGGGACCATCTGAGCCAGTTGGACCACGAGAACCTGGCGGTCCATTGGAGGCCTCGCCTTCAAGGACACAAATGTTGGAACAGAGAGATTAAAAACCAATGATCCAATCCAATGCAGCTCTGAGTCTTTAAGACAAAGTTCTGGTCTCTTACTGACGAGTCCAACTTCAAGTCTGCAGAGGAAAGTTGCCCACCGATTCGGGCGTACTTCACTTAGGGCGTACTCAAATCGGAGCTCCACCAGACTCGTCTGCGCAAAGGTCAGATTTTATGGCGGGATGCTTGCAAACTAAGCTGATCCGGTTGAGGGTCGATGCAACCAATCGTGGGAAGACCAGCGGCTAGACTACAGCTGCTGGTGTTTGCTCTGATGGAGAAATGGGCGAGGCGCCCAACCGGGTCAGTCAATCTTGCTCGTGTCCATTCAGATCAAATGAAGGACGGTGTGGCAGCGTTGGCCCACTATGCACCGTTACCAGTCCTCCTCTACTGAGGCCTCTCTCCACCGTCTGGTACCGCTCTACCCGGCTGACGCCCGGTTTGACTCTAACCAAGCCGGGAGCCTCCATTGGCAGTACCATGGTGTACGGTGGGAACACGGGCTGGACATGACGCCGTGTCCCGTTTGAACCGTTGGTCGGTCAGCTTCTCTGAACTCATTATATGCGTATGTTGCAGGTTGCCTCTTCCGGTTGAGGTTTGGACTTCTGGGTTCAGGCATGGCGTTATTGATTTCCAGCTACAGTTTCATCTTGGATTGGTGGAACTGCTGGCAGTCGAGGAGGAATCCACCAACCAATTAAATTCATCCTTCTGCCAATCAAAATGCTTACGCCACTGCCACACCAAGGTGGTTCCAGAACACCTGGAGGAACCACGCAGGATTTGCAAATAGAGACAAATCTGGCTGAGGCAGACTGTGGAAGAACCGGCTAGACCAGGGGTGGGCAATCCTGGTCCTGGAGGGCCGGAGTCCTGCAGCTCTTAATGTCTCCCTGGTCCAACACACTTGAATCCAACAGCTGAATCACCTCCTCAGTGCAGTCAGGTTCTCCAGAATCCTGCTAACGACCTCATTATTTGACTCAGGTGTGTTGAAGTAGAGACACATCCAAAAGAGCCAGGAAACGGGCCCTCCAGGCCTGGAGCTGTCCAGCCCTGGGCTAGAGCCATATCCAAACAGAACAGATTGGAGAAACTCAGGTGGGTCGAGTCTATAGAGGAAAATCCACGTCTCATCAGTGCATAATGTGAAAGTCTAACTCCAGGCCACTTCTTGGGTTTAGAGAGAAGCAATGATAATGAAATCCTTGGATAGATTTAAGTGCTCTTAACTTACTTCACTGAGTCATCTGGACTTATTTTTGGTCAAAATACAAGTTTCAATAAGTCAGTTGGGTTTTCTTACCTTGAAAATACGAGTTAAATCATAAAAACTGAATTTCTACATTCAGTCCAGGTCAAACAGGTCAGAAAGGATCCGGTCAGTTAATGAAACATCAGCTATGAATCATGTTTGGATCAGTTTAAGGTTCAACAGGAACTCAGTGATTTTGTACCTGACTCGCCCTTCAGTCCTGGGAACCCAATCAGACCTGCGACAGATCAGAAACGTTTCTGTGAGTTAATTCACTGATGCACTCATGACACACAACTCCCATCATTCAATAGAGACCATCATTAAACAGAGAAACCGAAGCTGAATTTGGCCGTATTGTTTAATAACTGGGATGATTTTGGATGCAACTGATTTACATGTTTGGACTGAAGATAGTTTAGTTTTACTTTCTAAAATGTCTCGTTATGAGTAAACAGTGAATTAAATCAAGCTGATTATTACAGAAGCAACTTTAATATTTATTTTCAATCCTCTGAGCCGTAAGAAAAAATTAAAATGTAGATACCTTGAATCCCGGGGACCCCGGCAGGTCCCAGGGGCCCGGGGAAACCTCGTTGGCCCTTCACCAATTTGTGATTAAAGACGGTCTAATAAAAACACAAGCAGAGTTTTCTGGTCAGTCCAGCAGCAGCATGTCAGTCGTTCCTCCTCGACTGTTCCTGGTTCCCCCTGGACGGTTCCCCCTGGACGGTTCCCCCTGGACAGTTCCCGGTTCCCCCTGGACGGTTCCCACTGGACGGTTCCCGGTTCCCCCTGGACGGTTCCCGGTTCCCCTTGGACGGTTCCCGGTTCCCCCTGGACGGTTCCCCCTGGCCTGTTCCCGGTTCCCCCTGGACTGTTCCCGGTTCCCCCTGGACTGTTCCTGGTTCCCCCTGGACGGTTCCCGGTTCCCCCTGGACTGTTCCTGGTTCCCCCTGGACGGTTCCCGATTCCCCCTGGACGGTTCCTGGTTCCTCCTAACCCTCTGTTCCTTCAGTCCGACGCGACGAACCGCCAACCTGACAGAAACATTTCCTCTCAGCTGAACACTCACCTCTCCTGGGGGACCTGGAGGCCCTCGGTTGCCTTTTTCTCCCTAGAGGTTGAAACAACACAACCAGGTGAACTGAGCCGCAGAGCGGATCTGAGCCTGTAGATCTGATCAACTCACCGCGGCGCCGTCGACACCGGGCGGGCCGATGAAGCCGAAGTCTCCGGGGTCGCCCTGCACACAAACCAAACTCAGAACGTCTGAATCGGCTGGAAATGTTTAAGTTCTGTTGACCCGGTTTTACTGAACCGCAGAACAATTAGCAGCCAATTTGGATTTTTAGTGAGTTCCCAGGAATACCGAGCTGGACAGGAGCCTCACAGAGGTCAAAGTTCACAAGATGAAGCTAATAAGGTACACCGTTCCCTCTGGCACAAATCTCTGGAAAGTTTAATTTATTTAAGATCCACGTTTAGCTGCAGCGAATTATTCACACATTCATTATATTACTGAAATAACTGAGATATTAAATAAAAAATCTGCAGATAAAACAGCATAAGAAGGAGAGTTGTGATTGGTCAGAAGGTGATGTTGACATTTTAACAGAGCGTTTATCCAACGCTGTGAGGATTTACATCGTTTTTGGTTTTTTAACGATTTTTCACTAAATAACCTCAAAAGATGGTTAAAAACTCCTGGATAGAACTTGAAACGTGATGGAGGCTGTCTGCAGAAAGGTGGCGCTCTCTGTGACGCTTCGTTAAAACAAAATGGAGGATCAGAGAGGAAGTGATTCACTGAGATTAAGGTTTAAAACCTAATAAATGTGGAAAAGACACTTTAATGTCTCCATCTGTTCTGATCTGAGCAGCAGGAAATGAAATACAGACTGAACGATCCTGGACGGTTCCCGGTTCGTTCCCTGTTCGAACTGGGAGGTCAAGACTGATGAGGAAGTTTGAATCAAATCATGAGAGTAAAAGATTCCTTTTCTTCTGATCGGAAGACGTTTGTTCTGTCATTTATGGTTTAATTTAAAACACAAACTTAGATCTAAAGCTGAAGTTCACTTCAGCAGTTAAAATAAAGACTGTAGTGTTTACCGGTTGTCCCAGTTCTCCCGGTAATCCCGTCTTCCCTGGTTTTCCCTGCAGCAGAAACAAAAACATTCAGATTAGCTGCCGGTTGTCTGAGTCACCAGCAGAGGGGGGTAGAGAACATTATACTGAAGTAAGAGCAGAATTACTTCAACGTATTCTTGCTCCAGTAAAAGTAAAAAGTATTTGGTAAAACGTCTAATCAAGTACTGAGTAACTGATCAACTTATCAATCATTAATATTTAAAAGTTACATCACCAGACAAACCAAAATATAAAGTTAAATTGAAGCTTTGTTGTTTTAAGGACCAAAAGGATTAATAAAAATAACATAATTACAAAATAACAAAGACAAGCAGAAGAAATGTTTTAAAATAATTTTCCTTCAATAAAAAACTGATGTAACTTTAACATGATGCTGCTGAGTCTGTCTGGTACTTTCTGTTGTTCATTCAGTGGGTAGAAAATCCAGAAATTTACTCAAATAAGAGAAGAAACACTTCATAAAATTACTCAGGTACAAGTATAAATACTCCTAAAAGTATTTTTTTCCCCAAAAAGTTACTGAAGTAACTGTAACTGATTAAATGTAACTAGTTCCTGTCAGATTCTGGTTGCTGGTTGTTTTTGGTTCTCACCAGTGAGCCGGGTTCTCCTCTGTCGCCCTTCTCTCCTTTCGCCCGCGGGCTCCCCGGCTCCCCCTGCAGGCGGAGGTCAAAACATGAGTCTGACAATCACATCGGCTGAAAACGTGGGCTGGTTTCATGACGGACTCACAGCAAGACCGGGGAGACCTTTCAGCCCCGCTTCACCCGGTTCGCCCTGAAACACAGAAGGAGACGGTTTCATGAGACTCGGGGCAGTCAGGGGGCTGAACGAGACTCGGACTCGGGGTGGAAACAGACGCACCTTCAGCTCTTTGGGTCCTTCAGCGTAGAGTTTGATGCCTTGCTTCCCGGGGATCCCCGGAGGGCCGCGATCGCCCTGAAAATCAGTCACATGGCTAATTAACAGGCTGTCACCACGGTGACACGCCGGCCGTCAACGATACTTTACGGCGGGTCAGAAGCGGACGGTCACCTTCCTGCCCTGCGGACCGGGACTCGTCGGACTGGAACCTTCCTGTCCCTGAAACAAAACCAGGAAGTTTCAGCCTGAAACCTTCAACTCCAGATAAGTGAGTTAATCACATCACCACTAATAACCATTAATAACCATTAATAACCATTAATGCAGCTAATTCAGATTAAAGAAGCCAGAGAACACAGAAACCAGGTCAGCCTGTCACAATAGATCAATGAGAAATAATGATTCCATTTGGACGATTTATCGTTTTGAATCTTCAGCCTGGTGTTTTGGTCTCATCTAAAGATTTTTTTAACAACAGTTTTGTTTACAGAGCTTCATAATTCATATTATTTGTTGTTTCTGTTTCTTTGTGTTAAGTGTTTAGCAGAGTTTAAACTTTATAGATCGTTGAGAATGTGTTCTCACATTACATTATCTGAAAATAGTCTTTAAATGACAATATTATCATTTATAACAATAAGCTGAGGGAGAATTTACGGTCCAGCTGGCGGACCCAGTATTACAGGAAGAACCACAAACGAAGCTGCTGGTTTCAGAGGATCATCGCTGGACAGGAACAGTAAACCGTAAGATCAGCCTGTAACATCAGGAAATGTGTCTCAGACTCAAACATACAAACCTTTTCTCCTTGGATTCCTGCAGGTCCTCGTCTTCCCTGGAAAATAAAGACTTCCTGGTCACTTTAAGTGCAATAAAATATGGAGTTTTGTTCTGTAAATGCTGTAAAATATGTAGTTTTGTTTAACGTTAAAGCCTACAGGAAGTCCAGGGGCCCCGATCCGTCCTGGTTCGCCCGGCTGTCCTCTATATCCACTTTGCCCCTGAAACAACAAGCAGTCGTTCAGTTAATCCAACCCAATGACAAGAAGAGCTGTAGGAGCCATTTCTCCATCTTCAGTTAAATGTTAGAATTTTAATTATTTAGTTTATTTTTACTTATTTACGTTCTGGTTAATTTATAATTAGAATTTTTGTTTAATTTTAGTTATTTATAATAAGTTTGCTGGCTAGTAATTTGTTTAATTAGTTAATTTCAGTTTGGGACATTTTGGGACGTATAATCCGTCGTCATTAGGGAGTTCTTTACGCTTGTGGGGGTCACATGGTTTACCAGTCACTTTGACAGTCAGTCAGTCGGTGAGACAATCATGTATCCAAACAACAGGTGAAGTTTTTCATGCTTTACCAGAAGCTATGGAGTAAATGAACAGACTGTATTTTTGGCTTTGGATCCTTTTGGAGCGATAAGCCAGAAACCTGCAGGGCATCAAGTGGCTATTTGAGTTGAATTCACTTTTGCTTTGATCACCTTGAAGTCTTAAGTTTTTTATTTTGGAGTTTCTGGACAAATAGTCACTACAATAATAATAATAACAACAACAATAAATGGTGAACCTCTCTGCCGGTTGGCCCTTGTTGTCCCGCTGCTCCTTTTATTTCCTGCCTGTAGGGAATCACGACCGAGTCTCCCTGAAGTCAAGCGCAGTTTGAATCCTTCATTAATGAATGAATCATTGCAGATCGAGCCGAGTATCTGCAGGCTGTGAGGCTCACCTTCATGCCTTGTGGCCCTGGGGGCCCCTGAAACACACGCACACTGTTAGCTGTAACGTCTGGTTTAATGTGTTTGACTTGAACCGAGTGAGCGGACGTACTCGTGGTCCCGGCGGTCCTGAAGGTCCAGGAACCCCTCGGTAGCCGGCCTCCCCCTGGCAGACGACAGCAGGCCTCATTCTGTTAGGACGCTAACAAGCTATCAGCTAAGTGTTCTCTTAGCATTTCAGCGTTTTGCTAACTTTGAAACATTTGTTGCACTTAGCTTCCACTAAATTATTTTTCGGATACATTTTAAAGCGCTGCTTTGTAAGCTTTCAGTTGAATAAACCTTAAAATAATCTCCCACTGATAGCTGAAGGGTTTACGACGCGTCAAGACGCGATTGGTCGACTCAGTGATCAGTCAACTCTGTGATGGGACGCTACATAGAGCATTCTGTAACCACAGTCTTCCACTGTGTTCAGCTTTAGCATTAGCTTCTGGTAAGCATCTAGTTGGCTTAGCTGAAGTAAAGCTTATGATTTAGGGTTAGCACAACAACTTTTTGGTTAGCGGTACCCCGTGCTGGGCTAATGCAGGGGAGAAGCTGCAGCAGTAACTCATGTGGATCACAAATCTTTGTCACAGAGTCTAAAAACAGGATTGTTGGATCCTAAAAGTCCCAGATTGCTTAGCTTCAAATAAAAATATGGTCTGAAAACACAAACCTAACTAGATATGGCTGTGGCGTACTTCAGGGTTCGGCTGAAGACTCTGCCGTTCCCTTTAAACCAGTGGTTCTTAACCTTTTTGGAGGTACCGAACCCACCAGTTTCATATGCGCATTCACTGAACCCTTCTGGAGTAAAATATGATTTTTTCCCCAAATTCTAGTTGGGTTACCCAAAGATCACCAAGTCTTCTTAAAAGGTAGAGTCTCTGAGGACAGTTCTTCAAAATATAGTCAGCAAAGTTGAGCTGACTGTCCAGGAACGACCCAAAGTATTTCAAATGTGCCACAGTTTCAACAGGTTGGCCATCGAGAGAAACTGGAACCACTTTAAGGTCTTTAGATCATTTAATTAGCTCTACATTCTTAATAGAATGAAAAATTAATAATAAATAATAAAGACCTTGTGGTATTCTGATTTAGTAATGTAATTATATTAGTTGTGTTACCACCCCACGCCACTAGAGGCAGTAGCAACCCCGAAAAGATGTGACTAAGGAGCAGATTAAGTACACCGAAAGCTACAGAATTTGGTAAAAACGGTGAACTTTGCTGAAGTAATTAAAGACAGAAGTTCAAATCCTGAGAGCGGAGCTCCTCCAATCAGGGCTCCTCTGCAGCTCTGATTGGCTCAGCAATGTAACGTGATCCTCTGCAGCTCTGATTGGCTCAGCAATGTAACGTGATCCTCTGCAGCAGCTCTGATTGGCTCAGCAATGTAACGTGATCCTCTGCAGCAAGTGATGGCAAAGCGGGGCGTCATCTCGACTTTACACAGTGTGTCTTTACCTCCGCGGCAGAGGAGGTAAAGACATCACATTTTGATGATGTGAGTAAATTTGTTGTTGCTGTACATCTTCACATTGGGGAGCCGATTGTGAAGTTACAGTCTGAATTTAACAGCAATAATTTGGGTTATTTAGCCTGTCAGAAGAGAAACAAATGAGTTAATTCTTCAGTCATATTTTCAACATGGTTTCAGTTTATAAACATCATAGCTTCAAGCTAATCATTTAGTTAGCATGCTAACTAAATGTGGGAAAAATCTGACTATATTTGTCTTGGTTTCCTTTTTCTTCTTTGACATTTTAAATTTTAACGTTGTGAAGACTTACAGGCACAGTGCATGTTCAGATCTAGGGTTTTTATTTCTATGTGAAACTGTCTTAAATGATTTTTTGTAGGAATTTAATGTAAATAAGCTGCATTGGGTCAAGCTGGACAGAATCAGTTCTGAAATAAATCCATCTGTACTTTTGTCCCGTTGCATCCTGGGAGTCCGGGTCGACCCATTGGCCCTTCATGCCCAGGAATCCCCTGAGAAATAAAAACTGAATCATTATCTCAGCAACAGAGCAGAAAATTTATTTAATCAAAAACTAGATAGTGACTTTATTTTAAATAATCGTTTTCAAATGTTTAGCAAATCCTTCAAATGTCTGTTAATTGTTTTAGAAGTCATGATTGCTTTGATCCTTAAGACTTACTGGGAGACCTGGAGGTCCTGGAAAACCTGGTATTCCAGGAAGCCCCTGGAAACAAAACAACAAAATATTAACTGGAGGATTAGAGCTACTGTAGATTCAGGTACATTTCCACAAAAGTTTTTGAGTTAAAAAAAAACAACAAAAAAAAAAACTTTTAGATTAATCTCAGAAATTTTCAAGAAAAAACTTTCTGAGCTCAAAGTTGAAAATTTTGGAAATTTTTGAGGTCTGAATCTCAGAAATTTCAAAGTTTTCTCTTGGAAATTTTTGAGACTAATCACAAAGTTTTGGCAATAATTTATTCCTTCTTTTACTATTGTTATTTTTATTTTTCGTTATCTACAATGGCCTCAATCCGCCATCAAGAAACATAAAGATTCCAGTTCGATTCCAGAGGTTCAGTTTGGTTCTGATGTCGACTCCAAGATGTTTGACCTCAGCTTCATCATCAGCATCGGTCTTACCCGAGAGCCCTTCATTCCTCGACTGCCTGCATTTCCCGGGTTACCCTGAGAAAAAGAAAGAGCAGATTAGATCATCCATCCATCAGAAACAAAAGGAAAAAATTTCTTTAAATAGTCCATATTCAAGCTGCATAATAACAGTAACAATTATAAAAGGATTTTACCGTTTCTCCTGGTGACCCTAGGTGACCTTCGCTTCCAGGAAATCCCATTACTCCAGGAAGTCCTGGGTCTCCTGGGTGTCCTGCTTCTCCCTGACGACATAAAAACAGGTGAAGTTCTCCTTCTGTCCACTGAGGGGCAGCAGCGCTCCTGAACTCGGTGTTTGTCCCGAGTCAGAGCGAGATTTTCCTCCGCTGCAGGGGAGCAGATGGACGTTTCATGTTCAGCCAACAGGAACCAGGCCGTTCAGGCATCAACACCTGGGTGGTCCCAGGTGCCCCGCCCTGGACCAATCAGGCAGCAGCATCGGCAAACCGCTGCACACCTCACACTTTCATTCTGTTGATCTTTTTACAAGAGAGATGAATAGAAAGGAAGTGTGATAAGATGAGAGCGAATTGCCAATACATGCAGAAAATGACTGAATGTGGTGATAAAAAGATATTCATTCCCGTTTCCATGCATCACATGTTGACCCCGTTTGACCCCGTTGGACCTGGAGGTTGCCCCATGGCGGCACGGCAGCGCCCTCACAGACACAACAGCAGCAGATTAAAATTGTTTTGCTCTCCGTGTTTGAGGCTGAGCTCATTTATCAGACCTGAGATTTGATCTGATGTCTGCAGCGAAAGCATCATTTGCTTTCAGTCTGGTTCCAGACAACTATCTGTGCATCTGCTGCAGAGCCCACAGCATCACCGCCGCTGCCTTACCAAGACACTGTTTGGAAAATGTTTGTTCAGCAACAGAACCGCTGATTCTGGTCCGATTAATCTGCTGAGAGCAGCAGAACATTTCCTCAGGAACATTCGGACTAAACTCAATTCTCTAACATTCTAGACAATAACATCCCAGATAGCACATGATGTTAAATCAACGTTGAAAAATAGTTAGAAT